GCTCTGGATATTGATTTCGCTAAAATGGGCAAGTAATTTGAGATATAGTTAGTGGGAAGGAACAGGAAAGTTCTTCCTCTTTATAGGAACTGCTGGATCCGGGTTATAGTTTACGGCTGAGGGAAGGAAATAGCAATAGCAATAGCAGTTAGACTTATATACCACTTCATAGGGCTTTCAGCCCTCTCTAAGCGGTTTACAGAGTCAGCATATCGCCCCCACAATCTGAGTTCTCATTTTACCCACCTCGGAAGGATGGAAGGCTGAGTCAACCCTGAGCCGGTGAGATTTGAACCGCTGAACTACAGATAACAGTCAGCTGAAGTGGCCTGCAGTACTGCACTCTACCCACTGCGCCACCTCGGCTCTTTCAGTACATAGCACTGAAAGGAAAAGTGGTTTCTCCTTTAATTGTTTAATCAGCAATAAAACTGTTTACATCGCTTTATTTCAGCATTGCAGCAAAGCTGTTATTTCATACTGTACATTTTATTTTAGAACACGGTCTTTTTGAATGGCAAAGCAAAGATATTGGCCAGTGATATAATCACCACCAATGGGGTAATCCATATCATAGATAAGGTCCTGGCTCCACAGAAGACTCAAGAATTTCCTTTGGGAAAAGGAAAACCAGTAAAGGTGCGCTCCATATGCCTTGAATTTTTCAACTAATTAAAAGCTGCTGGGTTGTGGATCACAATATTGTTTGCTGCTAACAAATGAACCTGTTGGAATAGAATGAAAATGTTAATTAAATAATATGGAAAATGAATTTTGAAAAAAGCTTCCTCAAGAAAACACTGATAAACTATCAGTTTGTGCCATAGGACAACTATATAAAACACAAACGTGTATTTGCTGCTTACACACACACATGTACATATTATTTATTTTATTTCATTCATTCATCAAATTTATACACTGTCTTTTTATGCACATTAATCAGCAAAAGGTTGAGTTAGAATCACATGCCTTGAGAGAAAAAGACATCAGGTAATCCAGATGATAAACCAGGATGTTCAATAACAAAGATTACCATTCATAGTTTGTGTAACCAATGCAGTCACAAACAAAAATGCTGTGGATATTAAAGCCCATGGATTGTTATAACCTAACTACTGAAACTGTGGGTTAAGAAACACATACAAACACACACATCCTAGGCCAATACTTCTTCATCTAGCATTCTGGATCTCAGTGGCATAATGGAACTCACAAGACATGACAGTGAGAATCTTTCTTCATTGTCAGCCTCTAACAACTTCTATTTTCACTGTGGTAGAGGTAATATAAACTATCAAGATAAATAGGCAGTGCAGAAGCTCCAGATAAAATCAAGAACAGTTTGATGCTGGTAGAAAAAGATATGCCTTCACAGCCTCTTGGCTTCAAAAATCAACTCCTGTTTTCATTAAAATGCAACCCACTGCATCAGTTAGGACTGTATGTTGTTTTTATTCAATCACTAACTTGTGTCTGACTCTTTATGACTCCATGGACTATAACACGGCAGGCTCTCCTGTCCTCCATTGTCTCCCCAAGTTAGGACTATGTATTAGAATTGTTTCTACATATTATTCTCAGAACAAGTAAGGTAGTACAGTATGCATATTCCATTCCTTCCCTTGGGAATCTGGAAAAGCAACTATTCCCATTTTCCATTTCTGTTAGAATACATAATGAAGCACCTACAACCAAAAATATTTCCTGTGACATATTTCTGAAAGCAGCGTTGCATTTTTTTTTTCATAGTGTGCTGACAATATTTCTCAACAAATATTTCTATTTCCTATATATGTAAATTGAGCCAAGTATTTCTTTTCTTCCTAGGAAAACCTCAAAACTGTCGCAGCAAGCAATGAATACATCATGTTCTACAACCTAATAGAAGTAAGTCTACATCAGGGGCAGGGGTGGGTTCCTGCCAGTTTTAAATTCTTCTATAGAAGAGGTTCCACAAATCTACAGTGCCATTTAGAACCGGTTCCAGCTCCCTCCCCCCGCCCATCCGCACATCAAGATGAAGAGCGAGAGGAGGAATTCTGGGAGTTGAAGTCCACAAGTCTTAAAGCTTTGTTTGAACAGCCCCGAGTTTTTTTTTTCATTGTCAGCCCACCCAGTCACATGGCCGGCAAGCCACTCCCACCCAGTCACATGGCCAGCAAGCCACTCCCACCCAGTCATTTGGCTGGCAAGCCACTCCCACAAAGCAGGCCACACTTATAGAAGAGGTTCTAAAAAAATTTGAAACCCACCATTGATCAGGGGTGTCAAACTCAATTTCATGCAGGGTTGTGTTTACCTCGGGAGGAGGAGGAATGGGTGTTTGTGGCCTCCCTGGGCTCCATTTTTGATGGCAGAGGCACCACAGGTCGGTCCTTCACTGTTTCTTAGGGCGAGCCCACAGGCTACATCTAAGCATCCTGCATGCTGGATATAGCCCGCAGACCTTGAGTTTGACACCTGGTCTACATGGTTGACTTAGAGTTCAAAATCATAATTCCACTTAAATCAATTGGTAGTCTGCATGGTGAATATGCCTTAATTGACTGTAGATGTCAAAAAGAACCACATTCATTTTTTCACTGTTTGCTTGCTAGATGACATGCAAATTGTTTTGAGAAACAAAATCAGATTTCTTCTTTGTCCTCTTGTAGAAGTCAGGACTGATAAATCTTATTAATGATCCTCTTCATCAGCCAGTCACTTTGTTCTGGCCCACTGACAAAGTAATCAGAGCTCTGCCAAAGGAACAGCAAGACGAACTATTCAAAATGTCAAACAAAGAGAAACTGCTACAATACTTGAAATTCCATGTTATTGGGAACGCTAAGGTAAGGCGTTCTAAGGTCTCAATTTATAAAATTTACAAATTTATTTCTAAATTTATAAAATGGGCACAATAGAACTTCTCTATTCTAAACTTGAATTTCCTCCATCTTTTCCCTGTGTCTTCCACAGATTTTAGCTTTTGCCCTTCCAAGCTCAGATTCACTGAAAACACTTCAAGGTTCAGATCTGAGTGTGAAATGTGGTGATGGTGACACCAATACTGTGAGTATTTATCATTTTTAAATAAGTCGATCAGAGGTGGGTTGCAAATCCTGCTATTGGTTTGCTCATGATCATGCGCGACGCTTCTGCGCATGCACAGAAGCATCCCGGTGGGTAGGCGGAGCCTACCACCACCACCACCGGTTCACCCAATTCAACACCTCTGAAGTTGAGCCATATTTTTTATTATGCTAACCATTGTACAGCATCATAAATAAATGAGAGTTTCAAATAAGTAGAAAGGACAATCAAATATTTTCATTTACATTTAGCAGCATGAAGGAAAAAATAGAGACCAACATACTTTGACATAAATGTGACTTACTACATTTTTTACCAGCATTTACTTCCAGTAGAGAACAATGGATTCGCTTAATGACCATGGCATTCACTTTACGATCATGGTAGTCCTTTAATGATCACTGCAATACAGATCATAAAACTGCGTTCAATCACATGATAATCTTCTTTATGACCATCATGCTTTATGACCCTAATGGGCAGGTTCTATTATATGGTAGTTGTTAAATCGAGGAAAACTGATTTCTTATTCTCGATATTTCTTACTCCTTTTTGGTGCTTAACATAATGTTATTGAAAACAGAATTGTATGATGGAGAAATATGTATATATAAGTTTTCTACCATAAGCCATGCTGGCTAAGATTATGGAAGTTTTATCCAGAAGTAAGAAAAGTACCAGGTTGATGACTAGTTTAATCTTTTTCCCTTTTCCCCTAACCATGTCATATATTTTTTCTTAATATCAACATGAATTTATATCTATTTTTAGGGTGAATTGTTCCTTAATGAAAGGAGATGCAAGATAATACAAAGGCAGCTGGAGTTTGATGATGGCATTGCTTATGGGATTGATTGCATGTTAACTGATCCCTCCCTTGGTGGTCGTTGTGACACTTTTATGACAACTGAATTTCCGGTCAGTTTTTCTAATGAAATGTTGTTGCCATTCCAGATATCACATGAATCTAATGCAGTTGCTTGCTTGCTTGCTATCCATCCATCCATCCATCCATCCATCCATCCATCCATCCATCCATCCACCCATCCTGCTCCAGAACCAATACTCCAAATCTGAAAGTATTTTTTTAAATTTAACAATTATTCAAAAAGAGATTATTAGTCTTGTACAAATATAAGTGTAAAATGTAACAATCAAAATGAAGATAATAATATCAACATTGTGTGATTGGCACTTAGCTGCCCTATTATTTCTGGAACACCCTATGTATGTATAAACACATATTCATGCTTATCTATTTATTACTCATGGAGGTGTGGGAATTATTAGATTATATTTTATATATTCTTCTTTAATTAAAATATTTAGTACCCTCTAGTGCCCAATGTTTAATATTGGCTATCTCTACTACCTTTTTGAAAAAATCCAAAATGAATCTCCTTTCCCACAGGAAGCATTCTTTACAATTAATTCTACAAGCTTATTACAAATTTATCTGGACTCTTTATCCGGTTATAACTTTCTGAAATTAAAGTCTTAATTACTTTTGTGCTGTTTATTTTTTTTAAGTTCATAAGAGCTTGTAGTTAAAATTTTCTTTCATTAAGGATTGTAGGAAGAACTTGCCTGGTGTTTCCAGACTTGGTGATCCAAAAGTAGTTATAATAGTTAAAAAGCAGCGAACAAGCAATTTCCAGATGTAATTACACAAGGAAGCATGAAAATTTAGTCTCCGTTTAAAGGCACCAATTGCAGTTTCAGCAAGATGGCCATGTAGGGATGGGATTGGAAAAATGTTTGCAACCGGTTCTCTGGCCAGTTGCTGGGTGGGCCTGGCCATGGGGACATGGCCTAGTTGGCTTCTTGCACCATGGTGGCGGGAGAGGCATTTTTGCCCCCCCCCCTCCAGCTCCGGAGGTCCTCTAGAGGCCCGTTTCCAGACTTCCTGTAGTTCTTTTTTTTTTTTTGCCCTCCCCAGGCTTCAGAGGCTTTTTCGAGCCTCCAGGAGGGTGAAAATGGCTTCCTCCAGGTTCTGGAGGCTCTCTAAATGCCGCAAACAGGCCCGTTCTCAGACTTCCGGTATTTCCTATAGGCCCATTTTTTGCCGTCCCAGAGCCCCTGCACAGGCCCTGCACTTACCTGGCATGATGAACAGGCTGTGTGGAGACTCCTGGGAGGAGAGGGGCAGGGTGGGCAGGGTCAGCTGGTTCTTGTAACTACCGGTTTGGCGAAACAGATTAAAATTAACATCCAGTTCACCAAAACCATTCCGAACCAGCTGAATCTCACCCCTGTGATTAATCACTCATCTTCCAGAGCTCTAAACGGACTAGAGACTTCTGCCTTGCTGTTTCCTTGTTTAGGAGCAAATGTCTGGGACACTTGTGAGCCGAGGTGGCGCAGTGGTTAGGGTGCAGTACTGCAGGCCACTTCAGCTAACTGTTATCTGCAGTTCAGCGGTTCTAATCTGACTGGCTCAAGGTTGACTCAGCCTTCCATCCTTCCGAGGTGGGTGAAATGAGGACCCAGACTATGGGGGCGATATGCTGACTCTGTAAACCGCTTAGAGAGGGCTGAAAGGCCTCTGAAGCGGTATATAAGTCTAACTGCTATTGCTGTTGCTATTGCTATTGCNTGAAGCGGTATATAAGTCTAACTGCTATTGCTGTTGCTATTGCTATTGCTATCTCCTCTCCTTATTTAGGGAGGTTTAAGGAGCCAATCTACTGTCTGGCTCTTCGTTCTTTAGCACATCTCTGGCTCTGCTTTTAAAAAGGCCATCTTCAGGCCGCCATTTTTTTCCTCCGTAAGTCCTTGGCAAGATTTCTGGAAGTAGTTGGTCAATGCCTACTTCCAAAAGTTGAGTAAGAATGATAACTGGTTTCATGCTTAAGGTCATCCTGGAACTCATAGTATTTTTTTTCCTAGTCTGGTGTCTTTCATCACTATACCAAACTTGCTCTCGTTGCTATATGGATGCTCATATTGAGACCAAGAGTTAAAGTAGTTCTGACATCACTTATGTCATTTGGTCCTTCCTAGTTGTTTTGTGATATAAAAAACAACAGATTTAAGTAGCCAGTATTTCTAGCTGTTGCCGTGGCCTAGCAATAGCAATAGCACTTAGACTTATATACCATTTTACAGTGCTTTACAGCCCTCTCTAAGCGGTTTACAGAGTCAGCATATTGCCCCCAACAATCTGGGTCCTCATTTTTCTCACCTTGGAAGGATGGAAGGCTGAGTCAACCTGGAGCCTGGTGAGATTTGAACTGCCAAATTGCAGGCAGCCGGCAGTCAGAAGAAGTAGCCTGCAGTACTGCACTCTAACCACTGCACCACCACGGCTCATAGCAAGAATGATTGCTTTATATATAAAAATGCAAATCATTATGACTCAGTGGTATTAAATTCTATTATAAAGACAACTTAATGAACTGTAGTGCTTTCTTCATCTTCATTTATTTTGTTTACTGAACTTGCTTTTTGAAAAATTCTCCATTATGCATTTGAGCTTCCTTGTGGGCTCAAAGAAGCACAGATTCTGTCAAATTCAACCAAAAGCATTGAAGCTTCATCAGGCTAGAAAGCTGCGGTTTTTACTTTGTCAACTCTTCTTCTATTTCTGTGACAGTGATTTGTGCATTCCATACAATCTTAATATGAACAAAGCTGGTAAAACAAATATGCTGATTTTATGGAACTTTTGCAAATAGCAAGAACAAGATTCTATATTGGAGTATAGAAATCACTATATCTCTCCATGCAAGAGCGTGATTGCAAAAATAAGGGGAAATTATGTCTGCTGTGTATTTCACAATGCTGGGTTATGTAGCTCATGCATTAAGGCATTTTCATTGTATGCATAAGGAAGTATGTGCTTTTAAAAATTGGCAAGTGTTATTTTAAGTATTTGGCCTAAAGCATGTGTTTCCTTTCTCAATAGGGAGATTGTGTCAACTGTTTCAGGAATTATCAGTGTCCTGGTGGAAGTAAAGTAACGGTAATTGTGACTGTACATTTTATTCAATTTTTAAATAATCAACTGATTTTTTTAAAGGGTTCAGAGAAAGTGAAACAAAAACCCCAATTTCTATTTCTTTGCCATATTTCCAAATTTCCTGATGAATCACCAAATATTGGTGGTAAATATCTGCTCCTATATGTGAAGATGAGCAGGAAGACATAAGATGTTTTATATGCCTTCACACAGGATTTGTGTACCTTAAAGGCCAAAAAATAAATAAAAAATCACCACAGAATTCCTCCCCAAATAATCATGAAATCTGCAAAAAAAAAATCAGTATTATCATGTTTCCCCAAAAATAAGACAGGGCTTTATTTTCTTTTTACCCCCAAAATAAGCGCTTGACCTTATTTTCAGGGAAGTCTTATTATTTTTGAGATACAGGAGGCGGCAAACGTGATCACCTCATGGCTGCTGCATCTTATTTTAGCACATGAGCTCAAAAGCCTGATTGGGCTTATTATTTTCTTATTTTCAGGGAAACAGGGTACTTATTTTTAAACAATTATGACTATTATCCAGTCTTCTGTAGCCCTAGGGTGTTGAAAGTGTTGAAGAAAAAAAAAAGCACACTCCAGTCACAGCACTCGGTGTCGAAAAGGTTAGCCATCACTGGACTAAGTTGTTACTTTTCTTAGCTTTGTCCCATTTGGTTCCAAAGTCAGCTTGTTTTAACTGGGCTCACATAGTTCACGAGACTGGGGAACTATCAGTGTCTCATCCAATGAGGAGTAGCCAGCCAGTTTGTTGCACAGACTGACCCTCATTAGGATTGAGTGGGAGTGACTGGCTTATGTTTACTCAGCTGGCTTCCATGTGGTCCTAGAACCTGGATCTCTCTATCTCTAGTCTAACACCTTAACCACTACACTACACAATCTCTTCTTACTAACAAAGTCAGTACTTCTATTGTTTGTACACAGTAGGTTGGAATTCATGCCAACGGTCAGACAGAGATGCTTATGCCTTATGAGATGCTTATGTCTGCTAATACCCTGGTTGGTTAGTTTGTTTTCCTATTTCCACATACAAAATCATAAGGGAGACAAGCAGCAATGTGAATATACCATCGGCCACAGGATCCTGTCGGGCTGTCGGAGAAGTTGCTCTATGGCAATGAGAATACCACAGTGCTGCAAAGGATTCTTTGGAAATAAATGCCAAGGTCAGTCACTACAATCTTAAATATTTGAACTTTGATGAAGGACTATGGATATCTACATAGGGTTTTTCGCAGACTTAGGAGTAGACATAATTCATATCTAGAAAAAAAAAGGGGGGAATGTTGGTTTACTGTTCTGGTGAAAACTGGATTCTTCTTTCACTGTCTAAGAAAAAAACCTGAAATATCTTACTACATTTCTCCCATGCAATGTCTACTTTGACCTTTAAGCAGAAAAGCTGGTGTGTGTCAATCATGTAGCATATGATAAAGACAGGTGGTATATATATTTTTTAAAAAGTAATAAAATGAAAAGTTGTTACTCCTGGTATATTCTTTTCATTATCATACATTGAAGTAAGTTTTAGAGGATTTTCAATATGTTTCAAAAATGGAGTAGGTGCTTGAGTAGTGGAGGCACTGAAGTAAAGGAAACTTGTAGAAACTTAAGTTAACAGTAGCCAAATCATTTTTCTTTTTAAAAAGTTGTTTGTCCTAGATAGACTTTATTTAGATGTTCCTCGATTGTTGCATTATGTTGCATTGCAATTCCTTTCATCCTCATTCAGCTTGGTCATGCTGGTGAAACAAAATCAGGATTCTAGTGTAACACATTTAAATAGGTCAGGTTGGAAAACTAATGTTAAACTAGTTGAAGATTTTTGTTCAGCAGATTCAGTTCTTTGAATTGATTGAGCTTTGTAGTAGGGGAATTGAATTATCTGAGATCAAGAGTTTCTGCTCCCTTGCCTGTACAATTAAGTTTTGAAGCAACTGAAAGGATTAACGTTCTTTGCCTTTAATTGGGCTTATGTCTATAATTAAGATCAAGAAAGAATGTTGTTATAAATGAAATGTATCTTGATTCCAGTGGGCATCTTATCTGCTTTTTGCAGAATGGACTGACGCTCTGCCCTGTATTATATCTTCATTTGTACTCTCTAAAATAATTTCAGAATGTTGGTGCACTCACAAATACCAAACTCATTCTGAATGTAAATTCCTTGTGCCCAAAATGACATCCCACATTGTCATGAGAAAAATATCTGCAGGATCAATGGTGACCTCCAGCTTGTAGAAGTGCAAAGGAGGTTTATAAAAGTTTATAAAAGTACAAAAAAAGCAGAAAAGTTGAAAGATTGAACATTCTTAGTAGCCTTGGAATGCTAATAGACTACTAAAGTGACAAAAAACAGGTAAATAGGTAAGAATTAAAATGGAACATCCTCGAAAATAAGATAGATGGTTAGAATAGTTAATATGAATATAGTCCCACTGCACTATTTTATTGGAAGACAGACCTATTATTGCAAATTACTGTGCCTAGTGTGTTGTATTTGATCTTCAGTTGTCCAGATATACTCTTTTGAGATGTTTAATGTCTGAAATCATGGCACTTGGCTTTCTCAATTTATGGCAAATAGATAGGGAAGAAATGGAGGTAGTGATAGATTTTATTTTCCTAAGCTCCAAGATCACTGCAGATGGGGACTATAGTCAAGAAATTAAAAAATGCTTGCTCCTGCGGAGGAAAGTGTAGCAAAGCAAGAGAGCATACTAAAAAGCAGACACATCACCCTGCCAAAAAAATGTGTATAGTCAAGGCTATGATTTTCCCAGTTGCAATGTATGGCTGTGAAAGTTGGACCATAAGGAAGGTTGAATGCCAAAGAATTGAGGCCTTAGAACTATGGTGCTAGAGAAGACTCCTGCGAGTCCCTTGGACTGCAAGGCAAACAAACCAGTCAGTCCTAGAAGAGATCAACCCTAACTGCCCTTTAGAAAGCCAGATCCTGAAGATGAAAACTCAAATACTTTGGCCACCTAATGAGAAGGAAGGACTTACTGGAGAAGAGCCTAATGCTGGGAACGATTGAGGGCAAAAGAAGGGGATGACAGAGAATGAAGTGGCTGGATGGAGTCACTGAAGCAGTCGGCGTGAGCTTAAATGGACTCCTGGGATGGTAGAGGACAGAAAAAGGCCTAGAGGAACATTGTCCATGGGGTTGTGATGGGTTGGACATGACTTCACAACAACAAATGTCTGAAAAATAGGCTGGTGCAATTTTTAGTTTTTCTATATTTTCCTGCTAGAGATTGAAAATAGTCTGATCTTTTGCTAAGGGAGATGAAAGAGTATTTTGGGTATAACAATGGAGACACTTCCTGTGGAAATCCTAACAGACTAAGCTTTCACCAACTTAGTGGTCTCCAGATATCTTGGACCTCTGCCCATAGAATTGCCAGTCAGCATGGACCAAGGAATTATGGCAATTAAATACCAATGTATTATTAGAGGGCATAGATGGGATCCCCCCCCCAAATCTATATGTATAAGGATTGACTCATTGCCTCTTACTCCTATTCAGCTTGCCCAGGAGGTCCAGAAGCTCCTTGCAATAACCATGGATACTGTGATGAAGGCTATGCTGGCACAGGAGAATGCATGTGTAATGCTGCATTCAATGGGACTGCATGTGAGCTCTGTATGCCAGGAAGATATGGTTTGGAATGCAAAAGTAGGTTACCTGTTGACTTACAGTTAAATAACAAATATACTGTAACATTGAGCCAATGTAGGAGGACTTGCATGATTCATTGGATCAAATGTCTGGCCTAAATCTGGGAGAGCTAAATTCAATTATTCTAATCCAAACCATCATGCATAGCATATCTGAAACAAATAATGTAGGAATGTTGCTGAACTAAATTTAGTCTGTTCCTGGGTGGGAGATTGCTTGTAAATGTGTATATCTCGGATCCCCTGAATGATAAAATGAAAATTTAACAAAAGTAATGAAATGTCTAGACAGCTTTTAGGAACTGAAATCTCTATTGTTTTCATTTTTTCCTTGTGTACTTGAGGTTTTTCCCCAAAAAATCTACAAAAAACTATAAAATACTTTGTGTATAAGCAATTTTCTCTGTATTTTAAATTTCTGACCAGCTCACAGGAATTTCTGTCACAAAGATTCTCTAAATTGTTATGCAGTTCCCATGCAGTTTTGGAAAAAGATAAATTTAGTTTATTTTGATTCCAAGGCTGTGGGTTGTATGTCTCTGAATCACATTTTGCCCTTCAAATCTGTACACTACACTCTATTTTCTAGAGTGTATTTTCTATTTTCTAGAGTTTTAGGACACTTCATGTGAACCAGTAGACAGTAATAAGATGTACAATCCAGGACAGGGGAGCTTCATATATTCATCTCAGCGGGACTAGGAAATCTGCAATACAGACAACTATTAAAAATGGACCAGCGGTGGGTTCCTGCCAGTTCTAACCTCTTCTATAGACGAGGTTCCACAAATCTACCGTGCCATTTAGAACTGGTTCCAGCTCCCTCCCCCCACCCATCCGCACCACCCTTGCCCCGCCTGCCGCTCACTGATTGGCTGACTCACCAATCACCCCGCCTGCCTCTAAGAGTCCTATCTAAACCTTAAAGTCTTAAAGCTGTCAAGTTTGAACATCCCTGAGGTCTTTTTCTAAAGGGTTAGGGGTGCAAGGGTCTTGTAACTTCACAGCTTTAAGACCTGCGTGCTTCAAATGCCAGAGTTTCTGAGCCAACATTTTGGTTGCCAAGCAAGAGCATTGTTAAGTGAGTTTCACCACATTTTACAACTTGGCCACGCCCACCCAGCTACATGGCTGCCAAGCCACTCACACCCAGTCACATGGCTGGCAAGCCACTCCCACAAAGCAGACCACATCTACAGAAGAGGTTCTAAAAAATTTTGAAACCCACCACTGAAATGGACCCCTTCATGCAAAGCCATATTCTAGATCATTGTTAATTTTCTAATTATTGGGAGAATTGCCTTTTTTAAGACTAACTAATGATCCTAAGGCAGAAGGCCAGTTTATGAATTAAATCATCCATGTGGATCATTGTCCTAATAATCTAATAATGTTCTATTCATAGATTGCGATTGTACAGCACATGGACAGTGTGATGAAGGGATTTCTGGATCAGGACATTGTTTCTGTGAAACTGGATGGACTGGACAGTTCTGTGAAACAAAATTAGGTCTGACTACAATATTTGATCATGTAAATCTGTTGCTCATAGAGAACATTTCATTTTGCTTTTGTCATTTTGACTGATCAGATTGCTAAATTATTTTCCTATGTTGATTTCTTGTTTAGAACTTGAAAGAAAACAATATTATTCTCATACTTTATTGATATTGAAGTACTATGAGATAATCCATTGAAAATTAATTCCTATTGCTTCCTAAGGTTGATGAATGGATAGGTAGATTGATAGATATAAACAACAATAGGGCAGCCTTTCCCAATTGGATATCCTCAAGAGAATATAATTCTGAAAGTTGCACTTCCCAATGTAATAGATTGGAAATGGATGATTTATGGAGTATCTATACTACAACATTGATGCTTTGAGCAAATGCAAAGCAAAAGTTGTAGTACAACAAATACAAAAGCTGTATGTAACTGGCTTATCAAAATCTGACAAAGACAATATCAAAAAGTGTAGATTATCTGCATATTCTTCCTTCATCAGGGAAAGTAGTCGACCTTCCCACTGCATTAGCTGGAGATCAGTGAGATGGTCAAGAATGCTCTGCCCTAAAAATCTTACAAATAAATTGGGTAGTAAAGTTACAATAGTCAGTTACTCAGATTTAGGTATCACAAGTGTCCCTATCTTTTCAATAAAACTGGTTAAAAAAAAAATCCGAGAAGCTCAATTTTTGGTTGTAAGTGGCTGCTACAGTCTTGATACTCTGATTGTTATACAAATAATACTCATTTGTTATGTTTATATGTCATAACAACCAAAACTAATATGAATTGATTTTAAATGTCAGGTTTTAAACAACTTACACATTGGGCAACCTGTGATTCATGATTCTCATGTTATCTTACAAATCCTTTTTACAACCTTGTTTCCTACATAAGATATTCTCTTGACAGACAGTTCTGTGCTTATTGAGTAAGTTTTGAAGGAATGATCTGCTATCAGAGTAATCATTGTCTACTTATGTCCAATAGAAACAACAGTTGTAAGATGGATGCCTCATACCAAGAAATAAACACTTGGACTTAATTAATTCACTTGAAAAGGACTTCTCTGTGCTGAAAATTCCTAATGAACTCTAGATAGTATTAAAGAGAGTTTTATCTCTCCCCGCACAGCTATTTATTGTTTTTAAAGGTTTTACAGCTAGATCGATAGACTATATTTGAAGCAAAAAAAACCACCTTCTTTTTATGATTAGCTACAACTATTCATAACAATGTATAAAGCAAAGACAAAAAACCAATACTTAAAGCAAACTCTTGCAATTGCATTTGATTTATTTGAATTTGATTTAGCTAATAAGCATGGATGCAATAAGGCTACCCATTCTTTTTATCTTTCAAAATATTTATTTCACTCTTTTACTCTTTACTGTTGGGCTTGAGATTCTGAGAACATAAATTTAAATTATGGTTTTTAATTTTCCTTTACAGCTTCAACCCCAGTATGCTCACCCAGCTGTTCTGTCAATGCAGTATGTAGTGCTGATGGTACTTGTCAGTGTAAGCCTTATTATACTGGGGATGGACTTACATGTACAGGTAAAAATTATCATAGAATAAATATCAGCTGCTCCTCAAACTTGAGGAATGCATTTTTTATCATTTATCTTAAACTGTGAGAATCTTTTTTCATAAACTCCTGTTCCCCACCACTCTTTCCCCATTCCTCCATGGAACATTCTAGAACAGTGTTTCTCAACCTTGGCAACTTGAAGATGTCTGGACTTCAACTCCCAGAATTCCCCAGCTGGCTGGGGAATTCTGGGAGTTGAAGTCCAGACATCTTCAAGTTGCCAAGGTTAAAAAACACTGTTCTAGAATATGAAACTAATTATATGTAGTCCACAAAGAAGTATTTTAGTGAGTTCTGGGTCAGCTTTCAAGAAAAGAGTATAGGCACTTTATGAATGAAGAGAAACTATATGTTTACTTGACCCGCTGGATTATAAAGTGTAACTTACAAACCACGTCACATGTGGATTCTTACTGAAAAAAGCTGATGTTGAGCAGTGGTGGGGTTCACATTTTGTTACTATCAGTTTCCCCCGTGCACCCCTTCCATGCATATGTCAGGCCTTCCATGCATGCGCTTTGTTCTCATGCCTGCCTTCTGCGCATGCACCCAGCCTCAAAAATGTCCCTAAAGAGGATGGCATAGAGCCAGGGTGGTACCTGAGATTTCTGCTACTGGTTCTGGCAAACCAGCCCAAACTGGCTGAATACCATCTGTGATGTTGAGATTAAAACTTTTCTGTACTCTGATCACCTACTATTATGGAACAATATTTTGTTTAACCATCAGAACTAGCAGTTCTGATCATCGGGGCTAAATATCTTCAAACACAATAGTGGACTAGAAACTCTTCCTTCAAAGTTACTCTTGAGTGAACTACGTTATGTTGAAAGTTATATAAACATTTTTATCTTTTGTTATTTCTGTTATCTTCTATTTGATTGACATACTTGCTTTCTATAGGGGATGGGAAATGTGCAGAGCAGGGATGGCCAATCATTTGATGGATGGTATCTTTTTTCCCCTCTGATTTTTGGAAGGAGTTTGTGGGTTTTCTTTGCTTGCTAAATTGTGTTAAGTTTATTTATAAATTTATTTATAAATTCGATTATGTTTCCTATCTTAAAATGACAGGAAACTTTTTGTCACAAGGTTCCAAGGGCCCTCTGATGTAAATCTTCATTTGATCTGTGCTTCTTTGCACTTCACAGCTGAGAAGCTTTGTAAGAAAAACAACGGTGGATGTCACAAGAATGCAAAATGTGTACAAACTGATGTGAAAGTCAACTGTACATGTCAGAAAGGATACCAAGGAGATGGCTATACCTGCACTGGTATCAACCCTTGTACAGATGGACTCAATGGTGGATGTCACGAACATGCTGTCTGTACAATGACAGGACCAGTAAGTATTATGTATTTAAATATTGCTGTAGAATTAGTTTTCCTGTTTATATAAAGAAGCATGCATAGATGCCTGCAAATGAAGTTATCTAATATGCAAGAGTTTCCTGGGGAAAAATAAGTTTATTGTAGACAGTCATCCGGTTAATCACCTTTTAGAGAGTCATCCAAATAGGGTTATCCTTGATTTTGGGACAAGGTCTCTAATATAAACCAAAGGAGACCAAAGCCAAGATAACTGAAGGGCATCAGATTGTCCATTCTTTAACTAGATTTATAGCAGAATAACAGACTTACTCATGAAAGAAAAAACTGTTTTAAGCTTTGCAAGACTTTGCATTATCATGGGTATTTGAAATGTAGTTTTTGTTTTTAAATAGAAGTCTAAAGTCAGCTCTAGTGACTTGTGACACAAAATCTATAAGTCTGTTGATATACTCAGTTATAATAAAATTTCCTTTCAGGATAAGCGTAAATGTGAATGTAAACAGAACTACATTGGGGATGGAATTGATTGTGAAGTAAATCAACTGCCAATAGACAGATGTTCACAGGACAATGGACAATGCCATGCAGATGCTAATTGTGCCGACCTCCATTTCCAGGGTCAGTCTTCTAATTTAGAAATATTTATTTTGGTTTGTCAAGCATGTATGACAAAACAAGTTTAAGTATGAATATAATATATAAACATATAAGCAGGTATATGTACAGTATATACATAAGAAATGAATACAATAATACAATAATACAATAGCAGAGTTGGAAGGGATCTTGGAGGTCTTCTAGTCCAACCCCCTGACTAGGCAGGAAACCCTATACTGTTTCAAACAAATGGCTATCCAACATCTTCTTAAAGACTTCCAGTGTTGGGGCATTCACAACTTCTNTCTGGAGGCAAGCTGTTCCACTGATTAATTGTTCTAACTGTCAGGAAATTTCTCCTCAGTTCTAAGTTGCTTCTCTCCTTGATTAGTTTCCACTCCATTAGATGCTTCTTGTTCTACACTTGGGTGCCTTGGAGAATAGTTTGACTCCCTCTTCTTTGTGGCAACAAATAAATACAAAAAAAATGGGGACAGTTGGACAGGAATGTTAGGCACGCTGGTACCCTTATGCATGCCCCTTACAGACCTCTTAGTAATGGGGTGAGATCCACAGTAAAGAGTTTAAGGTTAAAGTTTTGGGGATTTGATGATGTAACAACAGAGTAGGGTAGTGCATTCCAGGCATGGACCACCCTGTTGCTGAAGTCGTATTTTCTGCAATCAGGTTTGGTGCAGTTTACTTTGAGTTTGTATTAATTGTTTGCCTGTCTGTGTATTATTGCAGTTGAAGCTGAAGTAGTCGTTGACAGGTAGGATGTTGTAGCAGACAATTTTGTGTACTATGCTTAGGTCCGACCGTAGGCAGTATAGTTGTAGGTTGTCCAGGTCTATGCTATTAAGAAGCATATGTCTATGCTTCTTAATGATGCTAAATCTGAGAATTCTTTACAGTAAAGTGGTGGTTCTAATATGAAATAACTCAACAACAGTCAATCGTTATAGGTCTTTTTAAAACAATAATTTGGTGACTTTGACAACTTGGGTCTACACCCGCACTATTCATGATAGTTCCATGCATTTACAGTATATCCATATTTACCAAAAATTTTCAAATCAAAAATATAACATTCAGCTGTAGAATCTGCACCTTGTTACAACATGGATATATACGCATTTGATACAACCATGTCTAAATACGCACCAAGTGTGTGCATAAATCCCTAGTGTATCAAGACTAATGAATTATTGTATTATCTGCATAGATTTTTGAGATGTCAGAGAGGCTCAACATTTTATATAATCATATTGTCAGGATATACCGAAGCTGGTATGACTTATGCAATTGTGCAAAGGAAATACTTCATTTTCTTGTCTTTACAAAGCAACACCATTTATATCTGATGTTTTCCGGCTTTTTATAAATCATCATGTCTGGAAACCCCTAAATATTTTTGCATCTTTCTTCTTTGCAGATGCTACAGTTGGTGTTTTTCACGTACGGTCTGCCAAAGGGCAGTATAAATTGACTTTTGCTGATGCAAATAAGACTTGTGAAGATGAAAGTGCTACAGTAGCTACGTACACTCAGCTCTTATATGCTCAAAAGGTAAGAATGCTTATTTATCCTAGCCAAGAGGGAAAATATGCATGGTATTGGATGAGAATGTCCCACAAGTGCTTTTTCAAGAGGCAACTAGGCTTTCTGGTTTTTCTTTGAAGGCATTTTGCTTTCATCCAAGAAGCTTCTTCAGCTCTGAAGAAACTTCTTGGATGGGAAACAAAACATCTTCAAAGAAAAACCAGAAAGTCTGGTTGCCTCGGGGAAAAAGCTCCTTTGGGACAACCAGGACCTGGATGACTGACAATCCCCATAGATATTGGATGAGAAGCAAAATGATTTCAAGGGGGGGAAAAAAACCAAGAAATTCAGTTGCCTTTTGAACACCACCTTTGGGATGACCATGTCCTGGATGGTTGAGAAACTCCATAGATATCCAGGTTGCAAAAGTTCTTCTACAAATTTGAGCCATTTGCAGCCAGTTCTGTGGAAAAATCTGCAAGTGTGTAATAGCCACAATCTGCCAACCAGAGTTGGGATAGAATTCCAAGTTCTATTTGGAAAATGAGTCAATCTGTCTTTCATATTGTTGCTGTGACTCATCCACCCTGTTGAAGCTTCAAAGAGTGCGTCTGGGATTCTATAAATATCACAGAAGTCTGTGATCAGTAGCATTCTCACTAATGTAACCCTCATGTGCATGTTCACGCAGTAGGAACTGCTATATTCATTTTGTCTCCCAGTGAAAGCAGTTCGTCTTCCAATATTTGTTATGTTGGATAAGCTCCATAGCTTTAGCTTAGGATTGTTATCCATTTTCTTTTGTTTCATAATTGTATTCCTTACATGTTAACAACAGGCCAAATATCATCTGTGTGCGGCTGGTTGGCTGGCTAAAGGAAGAGTCGCATATCCAACAGCTTTCTCTGCCCCAAAATGTGGTGGAGGAGTTGTTGGCATTATTGATTACGGAATCAGAGTCAACATGACTGAAACCTGGGATGTTTTCTGTTACCGAGTCAAAGGTAAAAATAGAAGAATGTTTGAAGTCTCAGAATCTGCCATCTTGACTCTAGGCTCAACCCATTGAGGTCTGAATTAAAGTCTTTATAGATCTTGGACACTTTTATAATTGTAGCAGTCTCAGGCAGATTTGCCTTATATTTACATATTTACATTGTATTTAAAAAAGGGATGTGGTGGCTCAGTGGCTAAGATGCTTGTCGATCAGAAAGGTCAGCAGTTCGGGGGTTCGAATCCCTAGTGCCACGTAATGGAGTGAGCTCCCTTTACTTGTCCCAGCTTCTGCCAACCTAGCAGTTTGAAAGCATGTAAAAAATGCAAGTAAAAAAATAGAAACCACCTTTGGTGGAAAGGTAACAGCGTTCCATGCGCCTTCGGTGTTTAGTCATACCAACCACATGACCATAGGGACATCTTCGGACAGTGCTGGCTCTTCAGCTTTGAAACAGAGATGAGCACTGTCCCCTAGAGTCAGGAACAACTAGCACATACTTGTGAGGGGAACCTTTACCTTATTGTATTTAAGCATATCACAGTTATGAGCAGTTTTTAAAATGAGAAACAATATGTAAACATTTTAATAGGCATAGGTCCTAATATATAATTATATAATTCATATTGCAGGGAAATTAATTATTTGTAGGTCTGGGAGCTGGGTCAATCTTTGGGAAAAGGCCCCCTATTTCTAATACCGGTAGATATTCAAGTCCTTGAACCATTTCAGTTTCCTATTTAAACTCTCTTTGTTATTTTATAGATGTCAATTGCACTTGTAAGACTGGTTATGTGGGAGATGGATTTACATGCAGTGGAAACTTGCTTCAAGTCCTCTTTACTTTCCCAACACTTACAAACTTTCTCTCGGTAAGTAATAAAAGCAAAGCTTTTCCCCCCCTAGAAAGCAAAGGAACAAATTTGAATCATTCCTAAGAGGTCTGTAAGGGGCGTGCATAAGCGCACCAGCATGCCTAACATCTCTGTCCTACTGTCCCCATTTATTTGTATCCATTTCCTGTGTTCTTCTTCATGTTTATTCTTATTCCTGTTATCTTGTACATGAGTGACAAACTAAATAAATAAAATATGATTTGAATCAGTTGTTTAAAGGGGAGCAATAAATATGACAATCTGTTACTATAGTTGAAAATATTGTAATTGTTGGATGCCGCAGTTTTATTAATGGGCTCATTATCATTCAAGGTCAAGAGGACATTACTAAAAAAACACCTGCTTTAAATTTCTTTGTTTTTATCGGTGTTTGAAAACAGTCAAATCCAACTATAGGAGGGACTAACAATAGTAACACTTCCTCCTGAGCGGGTGAAGCAACAGGTTTCCTTTTCTGTTCTGTTCTGTGATCCAAAATTGGCATCCTATAGCTTATAGGCGGCATGAGATCCTCAGCTGCAAAATATGAGAGACCTGACCACTTTTCCTATGTTTTGCTCCTATGATAAATTTCCCTCTACATCCACAAGCCTGCAATCCACTGGGCTGCCCAGTCTCTGCTCATTTTATTCTACCAATAGCAACAAGAAGCCAGCAATCTAACTCCATTTCTGGAAGGCTTGCTGATGCTTCTTACTTCCCAGTAGAGAACACAATCAATCTTACAAGACTATGCTGCTATAGCCAATCCAAATAAAATAAGTCTGTAGTCTTCCACGGGGTTATTTCTTGATCTGTTCTGCCTCCAGGCTGACAAGACTGCTGGTTGAATTCCAAAGAGGAGGAGAGGGAGAAAAGGAGGATCGAACAAGTCTTTCTGCCCTCCCCTGCAATAGTATAACAGCATAAAATAGTTATCTGTGAAAGCTTCAATCTGAAATTACATACTACATGCCTTCTTTCAGTGGTCTTAATCCACTGTACTAGAAGAGAGTGATTTCACCTGTCAGCAACTGTCCTTAAAAGCAGAGTTTTCCATTTCTAAAGGAAAAAGCCAACCCTGATTCAACTCATTTGTTTAAATATGTGTCATTAAGAAATGCATTTTGGATCCTTGCATGCAAGAAGAATCTGAGGGCTTCATAAAATATCTCAGAAGCATTATTTGTTTATCGGGCATTCTTTTCTTTTCTCAGGAATTATTTTGCAAGACTCTTAACATAGCAGAATATATGTCATAATGATTTACTGTCACAATTTACTATCTTCACAGATGATTTCCACTTATTCAAATACCTCAAGAAAAGGCCAAGAGTTCATGAAATACCTCACAAATCTCTCCATTAAAGCAACCTTGTTTGTACCAAGCAATGATGGCTTGAGGAAGAACGAGGTAAATGGAAAAAAATGAATGTTTTCCTTGCCAGCTCCAGAAGCTTAAGTAGGATGATCATGGAAAGTAATGTTTGCTGTTTTTGAATTCTCATTGTTCCTAATGCCCATGTCATCAATTTATGAAATTAAACAAATATCCTAAAATTTTGCCTACTTCTGGCTGTTTGCGTAACATGTATGGAACATAGGTTGAATCTATGGAGGTGATGAAGCAATATATGTATCTCCCCGGTACAGCCATACCGGGAGCAGCCGGGAGCAGCGGCCACCATACCGGTACGGTGGCTCATTTGGCCCACCCGCCCACCTGCATTCCATACCTGCTTTTAAAGCCCGGCTCTGTGCGCAGCGTACTGATAGTGACGGGGAGAGGAACAAACCACTGATATATACATTAGCTTGTAAAAATACTAATATATACAGTCTCATTCCCAGTCATGATGCTTAAACCCCTTACGTATTTGCTGGTATCTCCTTTAATATCCAACAGGCTCCTTGTTCCACCTGATTTCATTTTGTTTAAATTTTTTTAATTGAAATTGAGCTCTTATAACAGAAACTACTTGGAGTTATTTTAGACAGAGTAAAAAAAGATTCTCCCCATATAATTTATGGAATAAAATTATTCATTTTTAGCTGCAAAGGTAAGGAATGAGATTTGAATAAAAATAATGAAGGAAAAAGATATCAGCTGTCAAATGCAGCCCTTTTGATTGTGGACATTGTTATTTTTTACTACTTTAAGACACTCTCTGGAAGAGACATTGAGTATCATCTAACCAAGAACAGCACATATTATGAAGATTTGGTCAATGGAACAACTCTCCAAAGCAGAATAGGGGAAAAACTGTTAATTACACACCAAGAAGAAAACCAGGAGCAGATTTCACTCACTAAAAAGGTAATGATTTGTTCATCAATATGCTGCTCATAAGGATACATCCTGATGTGTGTTGCTTGTATTGCATTGATTTTTTTTCCTCCAAAATTACAAAAAGCAGAAACAGAGGAATTCTGATATGAATTGGACATGAATGAAAGTCTTCAGGGGGAGAAATAGCCTTTCAAATCTTTATTACAGTCATAGGCCAGCATACACGGTACATAACAAAGTGTTTTTGAAAATTAACAACTTTAAAATGTGTGTAGCTCCCAGAATGCTGCCATGGTCGTGTGAAAAATGATCATAACTCACTTTTTTCAATGCTATTTGAATGGTTATTAAACAAACTGTTGTAAGTGGAGGACATGTACTCATAATGCAGATCCCAAATGCACTCCATGGAACTTCAGGATCACAGAGCTTGGAACATCCCAAAATCTGCACAAGCTTATTCTCTTCCTTCACACGCCTCATATTTCTCTGTCGTCCTGTTCTATCTTCTATGATCACTTTTTTATTTCTACCCTGCTCATTTTGTATTACCACTGGACATCCCTGGCAGCCCTAATATTTTTCTTTAAATTAAGCTAGTAGCCTGGATTCTCCTGGACTTCCTTCTCTATGATTTTGCATAAAAATGTCTTTCTACATTCCTTTCATTGATTAGGAAAACAAGAAAAAAAGAGTAAAGAATTACACTTTTCACAGGGTTTATCTTATTTTATATACTGTATATCAGGGATGTCAAACTCACAGCCTGCGGGCCACAGGTGGATTGCCAATTTTTTTACTACCAGTTTGGGTGTGCTCCTGCGTATGTACGACACTTCTGTGCATGCACAGAAACGTCCGGGTGGGTGGGTGGAGCCTCCCGCTGCCATTACTACTGGTTCAGCCGATCTGGGCCAAACCAGCAGCAACCCATCTTTGCCACGGATCAGATGCATCACGTGCTGGCCACGCCCACGCCCAGTTTAGCAAAGGGGAATTTGCAATACATTACATGACGCTGCTGTGTCATTTTTGACACCCCTTCTGTATGTACTTTTAATGTATAATCTATGTGTATAGTTCAGCAATGTAGTCTTTATAGCAACCACTATATATTATTTATCTGGATTAAATAACATGGTGGGGGAGGTGGCATTTGCTCAACTAGTGAATTAACTTTCTTTCTACACTGAATGAGTAGCAATAGCAAATTTCTTTGTATGACATTCCTTCTTGGCCAGCCATTTCTGCTACTTCAGCCAAGGAAGAGCTGAGTCTTTTTTGGGCTAATGTCCAACAGCACAAAAAGGGCGAGTTTTGTAGGCAGTAGTAGTATACATATACAAAGCAAATCATATACAAAAGATCTGTGCACTGTATGCCAGGTTCCGAAGGGTTAATGAAAATAGCCAAACACAGAAATTGTTTGTAATTGCAGTTTGTATTCTTCCTCCGGCACCAATTGATCAACAAAGCACTAAGGCAATGAATAAATTATCAGAGCTGCCACCTGGTGCTCCACACCACCTTTTATAGTTACTTAGTAATTAGGATAACCTGCACCCCGTAGTGCGCACACCCATCCCCTCGTAACCCTGAACAAAAACCACCCGGCAATTAATCGTGGATTGTTGTCAGTCAGTTATCACTAGCTTTGTAGATTTACTCAGCTGCTTGTGGAGGAGTGAAGCCTGGTGAGTCTTGACAACTGGCCCGGCTCTGGGCTGGCTGGAGCTGACACTGTAAAAATCAATTGTGTTACAGGGAGTATCTTAGTAAGACGATATAATATGTTCATCATGTTGTGGCTCAAGTTATATATATATATATTTCAGATGACTACCAAGTATGTGAATGGTAAAGCTATCCGTGAGTGGGACATTATTGCCTCCAATGGGGTCATTCATGTTATTGAAGCATCACTAAAGGCACCTCCTGAAACTGTAAGTGCTTTGCATATAGAAATGTATTTTTTTGAATGGAGTGGCTTCCAAAAAAAACTCTGAATATTTATTTTGGAAGCAGGCTTGATGGAGTATGTCAAGAAGTAAAAACTATTTTGGGACACTTGGTCATCTTTTGCTTAAGTGGCATTTATGGGCCTTAACTCAGAATCAAAATAGCAACATTAGATTTTAATTCAAAATTGAATTTAAAGTGGAAATGAGCTTTGCCATTACACATTTTCCTCTACTGTCATGTTGATATTACTTCATCTTCTGGAGATAGTCTTGAGGATTTTACTCAACACTTTTTGTATAGGGGAGGGAATATATAGTTCTGGACCTATAGGTTATGTGCCTTAGGGACATATAGATGTACATCTTGCCATGAAAGAGCTCTTGGTTGGGGAACTTACAACATCTTGAGATTTATAAAATGAGGAACCCATCTTCAGGACAATCATGAAAGTCCTTGGAAAACAACACAACTAAAACAACCATCTCCTCTTTTTGAATCTCCTTCATTAGAAACATTTGTCTGAGCTATCAAGGTGTGGTGAACACGTTGATTTATTTACAAAATATTGGGTTTTGTTGTTATTTCTGTTTTCTCTAATATAGACATATTCTTAAATTAGGCAATGTAGTTCAAATTTCCTATATGCATGTTTTAAACTATAGTTCACACCGAGACCTTCATAGCAAAATGGCATGCATAAGAAAACCTGGCCTGCTTCTTGGCTTTAAAACTGACATTTTCCTTCATCCTGAGTTAACGTACCAAATTCTGTGCCACAATACATTTGGATCAATTTTAAAATACCATGTGATGCCATGTTCTGTTGTGTATCTTAACACACAGCAACATGACTCTCCCTCTAGAATTTGTGAAATGTTTAATTATACTTCCTACCTATTATCCATTTGCCTTCTTTGTCTCAATTCAAGGCTTCTCTACATCCTGGAGCTGGCACAGGAATATTCTTTGCAATCATTCTGGTCATTGGAATAATTGCTTTGATTGGATACTCATACTTCAGATTTAAGAACCGAACTATTCAATTTCAACTTTTCAGGGTAAGAAAAAGCATAGTAACATAAATTGACTTTTATTTAGAACAGCTACAGTGCATGGATTTTTTTTTTAATAGGCAACTTTTGATCATGCAAGGACATCAGAAACAAGAAATATGTGACAAGCTGTTGCTTTCATACAAAGAACGGATTTATCCATTCAGCTTCACTGAGTAGAGCATGCAGAAAAGGGGAAAGAAATTGCCATCACTCCTGTCGAGTTTGCTGTGCTCTACTGAGGATGCTATTTCTGGTGACTAGGGTCTAACACCAGAATAAAAGAATAATAACAGAGTTGGAAAGGACCTGGTAGTTCATCTAGTCCAGTGTTTTTCAACCTTTTTTGTGCAAA